ATCTTGCACATTCTGAAAACAAGATTATCATTCTTACACAATCAGTTGTTTAGTAAATCAGTCTCAAAACAAGATCAAAATATTTTTTTGGGCTGGAAATAAGATTTTAAAACTTGGTAAGATGGACAGTTTCTGCAGTGCACATTTAGTGCAGAATAAATATAAAAGGTTTCAGTGAATAGTTTAGAGTTTAGAAGATTTTTGAACTATACAATGTTAAAGACCATGTTTTTTCTTCCATAAAGTGGTTTAACAGATTTGAGATCTCAGGCTTAATGAATCGTTCTGGAGACAACCAACCAACGGGACGATAAATATTTCTGTCTCACCTCTGAGGCCTTCAGATTGTTTACTCCTGATGTGAAGCCAGCAGAACCAGCTGAGCTGAGGAGCTGTTTGTTWACTAACTAAACTAGTATAAAAGCCGTATTGTTTGTTGTGAAGCCTGTTCTTGTTAAAGGCTCTGAGATTAGCCAGTGCTGCCAGCCTGTCACTTACTGACACAGAAACGTTTGTCATGGTGGTTATTTCTTCAAGATAAGTTGAGCAGCACAGAACTCACAGTCTGCATTTATTATCTGYCTAAATCAAGGGTTCTGGTGCCACAAGTGGCTCTTCTTTACTCTCCCTCGTGTGTTTTTTTTTTTTTTTACCTATGACCAAAACTATCATGAAAATAAATTGTCTTTAAATTCTGAACAAAAAGAGCAGATTTTCACAGTTTTCAGTACATTTTTATGTAAGTGTGGGAGAAAATCTGTCATACCTAATATTAACATTTATTTATTGACCATTATTTARCCAGGCAAATGCCACTGAGATCACAGAAGCCTGGGCCTGGAGGCAGCCTGTTGTACATGATGATGGTCACTTTTCTGAAATTCCCATTTTTTACCAAATATGGAAAATTTTCTCTAAAACTGTAAACATGTGTAACACTTTTGATGCAAGTTGCTGCAGGGAGAAGAATATAATGTGCTGTTTTTTCACACATAATAGTGAACGACTATAATATGATTACTTAATGAATGAATTTTACATAAATATGTGTGACTGTGGTAACAATAACAAACATTTAGGTTTGCCTTCAATGACGATCTTAATAAAGGATTAAGTTAATGCCTCTATCACAWGGAGTTCAGTAAATCTGAAATATTGTATAAAACAGTTAACATAGCCACCATAATTTATAAGTTAATGCTTAATCTGTATYAGTCCCCATTTTTAAGGCTTTGGTAAGCTTTAGTGTCTAAAACTATTATTGTAAACAATTTATCACAGTTCTTCCATGTTATAAAGAAAGACACAGTAGTTTGTTTTGAGTATCTTTTGGAACTCTGGTTAAGTTATATTTAGTGATGGAAAGAGTAGAAATCTCTCCAAACTTTGTTTATTAGATCTTTTACATTAAATGTTGCCCCCATCAGTCACCACTAGAGGGGGCTGCAGAGCAGCAACAAACACCTTCCTAAACACATGAATAAAGGACGTTTAGCTGGAAAAACTAACAATCCAGTCTGTGGGTGAACAAAAAGTTTGCTTCAAGGTCGTAACTTTTTTCAATTTTTATTTTTATTTTTTTCCATTTGTGGAGCTAAAAAAACTGAATGAAGTCAAGTTCAATGAAACACTGAAGTGACAGTAATTATTAAATCTTTTGACATTTAAGTCATTTGCTGAGAGGATTTTGCCAAATCTTTSCTTGGTGTCACATTATATGTGGCGTACTTTGAAACCAGTCAGAACGTGGGGAATGTCACGATGACAGGTGTGACAGGTGTTAACCAGCTGACAGAATCAGAACATCTGTTCTTGACACATATTCACATTAATAACAGCTCTGTTGTATCACACCTGAAGTAAGATGGAAGCAGCAGCWTATAGAATCCACAGTACTTGTTCTGACTGTGTATAAAAAAAACTTTACTGTTTCCATTGGCAGTCAGCATAGTCACATTACAAGCTTTTTATTTACAGCTTTGAAARTAGAATTCAAATACTTCTACTATATACTTTGTCCAAAGCTAATACTTTTATGTACATTACAGTAGTAACATCTGTGTTTTCTGTTTTGGCCACAGGTTGTTCACATGTTACGAGTCTGGCAGGAGGAAGGAAATCCAACTGAGAGAAAATGTGCAGTTGTCGGTGAGTAAAATCTGACTGCATTAGATGAACTGTTTAAGATAGATTGACATTGTAAAACATGTGATTCTGTTCAAATTATTATTGAGATAAACACAAA